GGGTTGAGTTCTTTATTTGATTCTCCACTTGGTCGCTGTTGGTGTATAGAAGAACTACTGATTTGTGTACGTTAATCTTGTATTTGGAAACTTTGCTGAATTCTTGTATCAGTTCTAGGAGCTTACTGGAGGAGTCTTTAGGGTTTTCAAGGTAAATGATCATATCATCAGCAAACAGTGACAATTTGACTTCCTCTTTACTAATTTGGATGCCCTTTATTTCTTTCTCTTGTGATCACTCTGGCTAGGACTTATGTTGAAGAGGAGTGGTAAAAGTGAGCATCCTTATCTTGTTCCTGTTCTCAGAGGGACTGCTTTCAGCTTTTCCCCATTCAGTATTATGTGGGCTGTGGGTTTGTCATAGATGGCTTTTATTACATTAAGGAATGTCCCTTGTATGCCAATTTTGCTGAGAGTTTTAATCATAAAGGGATGCTGGATTTTGTCGAATGCTTTTTCTGCATCTATTGAGATGATCATGCGATTTTTGTTTTTAATTCTGTCTATGTGGTATATCACATTTATTGACTTACATATGTTAAGGCATCCCTGCATTCCTGGTGTGAAACCCACTTGATCATGGTGGATTATCTTTTTGATATGTTATTGGATTCGGTTAACTGGTATTTTGTTAAGGATTTTAACATCTGTGTTCATCAAGGATATCAGTCTGTAGTTTTCTTTTTTTGGTTATGTCTGTCCCTGGTTTTGGTATTAGAGTGATGCTGGCTTCATAGAATGAATTAGGGAGGGTTTCTTCTTTCTTTATCTTGTGGAATTGTGTCAAAAGGATTGGTACCAATTCTTCTTTGAATGTCTGGTAGAATTCTGCTGTGAATGCATCTGGTCCTGGACTTTTTTTTTATTGGTAATTTAAAAATTACCATTTCAATCTCGCTGCTTGTTATTGGTCTGTTCAGGGTATCTAATTCTCATGCTTTACTGACTGGGCTAGCTGGGTGCCTCAGGGTATCTAATTTTTCCTGATTTAAGGTAGGAGAGTTATATTTTTCTAGGAATTTATCAGTCTCTTCTAGGTTTTCTACTTTGTGTGCATAAATGTAGTAGCCTTGAATAATCTTTTCTATTTCAGTGGTGTCAGTTGCAATATCTCCTGTTTCCTAGTGAGGTTATTTGGATTTTCTTTCTTTTTTTCTTGGTTAATCTTGCTAATGGTCTATCAATTTTATTTATCTTTTCAAAGAACCAGCTTTTTGTTTCATTTGTCTTTTGTATTTTGTAGTTGTTGTTTCAATTTCATTTAGTTCTGCTCTAATCTTGGTTATTTTCTTTCTTCTGCTGTGTTTGGGTTTGGTTTATTCTTGTTTCTCTAGTTCCTTGAGGTGTGACCTTAGAATGTCAGTTTGTGCTCTTTCAGTCTTTTTGATGTAGGCGTTTAGGGCTATGAACTTTCCTCTTAGCATCACCTTTGCTGTATCCCAGAGATTTTGATAAGTTGTGTCATTATTGTTATTGAGTTTGAATAATTTAATTTTCGTCTTGATTTCATTTTTGACCCAGTGCTCATTTAGGAGCAGGTTATTTAATTTTCATCTATTTGCATGGTTTTGAAGGTCCGTTTTGGAGTTGATTTCCAGTTTTATTCCACTGTAGTCTGAGAGAAAGTTTGATATAATTCCAGTTTTCTTAAATGTATTGAGGCTCGTTTTATGGCCTATTGTATGGTCTGTCTTGGAGAAAGTTCCATGTGCTGTTGCATAAAATGTTTATTCTGCAGTTGTTGCACGAAATGTTCTGTATATATCTGTTAAGTCCATTTGTTCCAAGGTATAGTTTAAATCTATTGTTTCTTTGTTGACTTTCTGTCTTGATGACCTGTCTAGTGCTATCACTGGAGTATTGAAGTCCCCTACTATTATTGTGTTGCTGTCTATCTCATTTCTTTGGCATTAGTAATTGTTTTATAAATTTGTGAGCTCCAGTGTTAGGTATATATATGTTTAGGATTGTGATATTTTCCTGTTGGACAAGGCCTTTTACCATTATATAATATCCTTCTTTGTCTCTTTTAACTGCTGTTGCTTTAAGGTTTATTTTGTCTGATGTAAGAATAGCTACCCCTGCTAGTTTTTGGTATCCATTTGCATGAAATGCCTTTTTCCACCCCTTTAAGTTAAGTATGAGTCTTTATGTGTTAGATGAGTCTCCTGAAGGCAGCAGATAGTTCGTTGGTGAGTTCTTATCTATTTTGTGGTTCTGCGTCTTTTAAGGGAAGCATTTAGGCCGTTTACATTCATTGTTAGTAGTGAAATGTGAGGTACCCTTGCATTCATTCTACTCGTCTTGCCTGAGTACTTTGGTTTCTTTTGTTTTTGCTTTTTCACTTGTATTTTTGTTTTATAGGTCCTATGTGATTTATGCTTTAAAGAGGTTCTACTTTGATGTGTTTCCAGGATTTGTTTCAAGATTTAGAGCTTTTTAGCAGTTCTTGTGGTGGTGGGTTGGTAATGGCAAATTCTCTCAATATTTGTTTGTCTAAAAAAGGCTGCAATTTCCTTCATATATGATACCTACATATATGATGCCTAGTTTCACTGGATACAAAATTCTTGGCTGGTAATTGTTTTGCTTGAGGAGGCTGAAGATAGGGCCCCAGTCCCTTCCGCATTGTAGGGTTTCTGCTGATAAATCTGCTGTTGATCTGATAGGGTTTTCTTTATAGGTTACCTGGTGCTTTTGTCTCAGAGCTCTTAAGATTCTTTCCTCCATCTTAACTTTGGATAATCTGATGGCAATGTGCCTAGGTGATGATCCTTTTGTGATGAATTTCCCAGAGCTTGAGCTTCTTGTAGTTGAATGTCTAGGTCTCTAGCAAGACTGGGGAAATTTTCCTTGATTATTCCCCCAAATATGTTTTTCAAGCTTCTTCCTCAGGAACACCGATTATTCTTCAGTTTGGTCATTTAACATAATCCTAGACTTCTTGAAGGCTTTGTTCATATTTTCTTATTCTTTTTCTGTTTGTCTTTGTTGGATTGGGTTAATTCTGAGATCTTGTTTTTGAGCTCGGAATTTCTTTCTTCTACTTATTCAATTCTATTGCTGAGACTTTCCAGAGCATTTCACATTTCTAAAAGTGTGTCTGAGGTTTCCTGATGTTTTGACTGTTTTTTCTTTATGCTATCTATTTCCTTGAATATTTCTCCCTTCACTTCTTATATTTTTCTTTTGGATTTGCTTGCATTGGGCTTTGCCTTTCTCTGGTGCCTTCCTGATTAGTTTAATAACTAACTTCCTGAATTCTTTTTCAGGTAAATCAGGGATTTCTTCTTGGTCTGGATCCATTGCTGGTGAACTAGTGTGATTTTTGGGGGGTATTAATGAGCCTTGTTTAGTCACATTAACGGGATTGTTTTTCTGGTTCCTTCTCATTTGGGTAGGCTCCGTCAGAGGGAAGGTCTAGGGCTGAAGGCTGTTGTTCAGATTCTTTTGTCCCACTGGGTGTTCCCTTGATGTAGTACTCTTCTCCCCTTTTTCCTCTGGATGTGGCTTCCTTCCTATGAGCAGAACTGCTGTGATTGTTGTCTCTCCTGGGTTCAAGCTACCCAGTGAGTCTACCTGGCCCTGGGCTGGTACTGGGGGTTGTCTGCACAGAGTCTTGTGATGTGAACTGTCTATGGGTCTCTTAGCTGTGAATACCAGCACCTGTTCTGGTGGAGGTGGCGGGGCAGGGGAGTACAATGGAGTCTGTGAGGGTTCTTAGCTTTGGTGGTTAATGCTCTATTTTTGTGCCGGTTGGCCTCCTGCTGGGAGGTGGCGCTTTCCAGAGAACATCAACTGTAGTAGTATGGAGAGGAACTGGCGGTGGGTGGGGCCCTAGACCTCCCAAGAAGGCCCTTTGCCTTCAGCTATCAGGGTAGGTAGGGAAGGACCATCAGGTAGGGGCAGGGCTAGGTATGTGTGAGCTCAGACACTCCTTGGTTGGGTCTTGCTGTAGCTGCTGCTGTGGGGGATGGGGGTGAAATTCCCAATACCCCCACTTCTTATAAAGAAACCAGTCACATTGCTTTAGGGCCCACCCTAATGACCCTATTTTAACTAAATTACCTTTAAAAGTCCTATCTCTAAATATAGTCACCTTTTGAGGTACCAGGGTTAGGGCTTCAGCGTAAGAATTTGGGGGAAGTAGGAGGCACACTTCAGTCCATAATTCTATATATCATTTATGACAAATTGTAAATGACAAAGTGAATGTTGAAGTAAATGTTTATGAATTATCAATGGTTATTATAAACTTTTATAACATTCTAAAGAACTCCAGCTGGGAGAGAATGTAGAGGATTGTAGATAGATTAGCACTAATTTGTTTTTTCCCTGAGAAACTCAGACTCTATGACCTATTGCACAATTGAGTCTATTTGTATATAACAAAGAGTATTTTTCATAGGTATTAATCAAATATCAATGTCAAGTCAAATATTTAAGAGTTAAGTGAAGAGGGATTAGAATTAAAGGTGTTAGAATTCAGATTAGTGGGCAAAAGATACAAAAACTTTGCTCACTGACATTCATAACTGCCTGTAGATGGAACAGCAGACCTGAAGATTGGCTAGTTCTTTGTGACTGAAGTTCTGAATTTTTTGTGCTGTTATAGAGTAAATTTATGTATTGTTGAGTGTGGTTCTGGAAGGTGATGATTTTTCAACTTGAAGATTCTCTATACTGTGTGGGTTTTTTGGCTTTAAAAAGGTTAAGAACTTCCCTTTATATAATGAAAACACAACAAGTAAATATTATTTGTTAGTACTTTAAGATGTAGATTTATCATTTAAAAAGTCTTTATGTTAAATATTCTGAGGACCATACTGTTTTTCTTTTCCTTCTCCCTCTAGTGGGCAGAAAATATTCTTAAAATATAGCATGGAATAATTTATTGCTGTTGGATGTATCATAATATACAGTCTCAGTCTCAGCTTTTTTGAAAACTAAAAATGTTAACTTTTCAGAATCATTAAAGCAAACGCTTTACTTCTTTCTAGGCATAATAGTGGATCCTTGAATGTTGAAGATGTCCTTACCAGCTTTGACAATACAGGAAATGTTTGTAAGTTACACATTCACTCTATATAAATATATTTAGTGTTTTACAAAGTGAATTTATAGTTGATGTTTTCTTCTCACTAATATTTTTTATGCTCACTAAATGTATGCATATATATAAAATAGAAAGTTTTACTGTCTTCAGCTGAAAAATATGTCTTTTATAAGGTACACCGACAAAATGGGATACTGCAGTTTTTACACTTTGCAGGTGTGTGTGTGTGTGTGTGAGACAGACAGAGAGAGAGTGAGAGAGAGAGAGAGAGAGAGAGAGAGAATGTAGGTCAGAAAGGACACTGGACACTGAAGTACTGTCCCTTTTATTTTTGTTTACATTTTGACCTCAGTGAATTCAATAGTGGGGCTGTTTCTTCTTTCTTTGCTTTGTTTTGGGTGCTTTCTTTGCCATTTCTTGCTTGTTTACTTTCACTGTAGAATAAACCCAGAACATATTTTTCTTGATGCTACTATACATTAATACCAGAGTGCTTTTGTTTGACGCAGTATTACAATATTATAGAATATATTGCCTTTTCATCCAAGCTTCTGATTAAGTGGTGATAGATTTGTCCACTGAGAAAATCACTTAAATATTTCTTATAATTCTTGTAATTAATTTCATGTGATGAAAGAAATCAGCCAAGAATACCTTTATGTCACTGAGTTAAACAGAATACCATCGTAAGAGCTATGGACTTTTTATGTTTTTTGTATAGGACATTTCCCTTAAGATAGTGAATTGTCAATGAAATATGACCATTTTAAATGTGAAAATAGTACTTATACTGTTTTTCTCAAAGAAAATTTCGGAAAAGTTAACTATTGTCTGAATTTAGGTAGTGTCTTTGGCTTAACAATGCAGCTTTATCAAATGAATAGATTTGTGTAGAATTATGTTCAGTAATACTCAAAAGTACTTTTGTTCTTATGTCCACATTATGATAAGCTTTTGATTTTATAGAAAAATGCTTGTGATTCACTAAGGAATCTATAAATGTCCTTAAATTATCCTAAGTACCTAAAATAATATAGGTTTCTTTTTCATGGATAGTGACAGATGTGCCTTTTTAAAATTTTCTTTCTTTTTTTAATTTTCCAAACACCAACTTGAACCAGAATGCCTTTTAGTTTCTCCATGTTGGCATTTAGTGAATTCTTTCCCACTTAGGCATATCTCATATTTTTATTAGGTCTAAGCAAGGACTGGGCAAAGCATATCAATGATGGTTGAGGATACATACTCTTTTAGTTCTGAGGTAATGTTAAATATCATTAAGTTAGCCTTACACATATGTAATTTCAGAAAATGATTCTAGAATGTTAAATGTGGAATTTCTGATTCAGTAATGTAAAAGTCAAGTATTGTTCCCAGTTGACTCAGTATGAAATAGGGCCCCTAGCTGGCAGCATTATGTAAAATAAAAATAATTTCCTAAAGGCATTGATTATTATTTTAGGCATGAATAACTGTCTTATCCTTCTCTAACATTTTTTCCCGTCAACTTGTTCCATACCCCGTGTTGTTGTTGCATGAACAAATGGAAAGGTTGCATATTAAGGGTGTTTTTTTTAATTGTTGTCTGTTGTTTGGTAGAAAGATTTAAGACTTTGGAATGATACCCACCTGCATTTGACTTTTGGCTCTGAAATTCATCTTAAGCAATTTGTGTCATCTCTATGAACCTCAACTGTTTTCATCTTTTAGGACTGGCTATATTATAAAGAAAGTACATAACATACCGCATGGCTCAGAGTTGATATTCAATAAATGGAAGCTATTAATTATTAGTGGCGATGAGTACCTATATAACCTCTTTTGTTTTTTTTCTAATAAAGAAGATAATATTATTAGGGTTATTCTGTTTTATACTATTTTAATTGAACTAACAAGGCAGAAAAATTAGATAAAATTAGCAAAATAGCTGTTTATTAAAATGCCTCATTATAAATATTGTCTTAAAAACCTGAATATATTGTTAAGTGATAGAAGTGGTGACAAAAATAAGACCTATTAAAATATGTTGGTTTGTGTACTTTTTATGTTTACTCTTTTTATTTTAATGGAAAAATCTATATGTTTCATTTAATGATAAATTGGTAAAGTCCTGTTCCAATAAAGTAAATATTGATTATGACTTTTATATAATCTTGGACGTAAAGTAACCATGGACTGAAAAAGTAATTTTTCACTTCATGCCTCAAAAATTTGATTTTCTTATGCCAATAGTGATATTGGGTTTGTGACTAGAAAACCCAGCAGAGGGCGCCACAATCATAATTCTTTGTCATAGCCCAATATAATTAGGATAAATATCTCAAATAATAACCCTAAGCTTTTACCATGTCAACATATGAAGATGTGTCTAAATATTTCTATTTGATTTATTTCTAATCTAATCTATTCAGTAATTCAAAAATACAAAAAAAATAGATTTTTCCTGGCTGATTTTTTAGTTTAATTTTTTAAAATAACAGTTTAATTTTTCTACTTCTAGCTTTAAATAAAGAAGTACTTTTGATAGAGAGCTAAAGTTCCATACAAGAGTATCAGTTTGGAAATCACCACCATGGTAGTACATTAAAGGACAATTAGAATGAGGAAAAAAGTTTCTAATAGATGAGAGAACTAATAGATGGAATTATCTATTTATTTTAGGAATTTGTTTCTAGGTTAATAATGCTTCCTAGTAATAGAAAAAACAGCTTAATTAAAACATTTTCTAGTCACAAAAACCTGATATGTGTAGATAAAGTAAAAACGGTATGGTCATGGTTTAGTAGAACCATTAATTTCAATTTTAAATTCATTTTGAAAATCAGGGAATGGTTGTATTCATTGTAAATTTTCAAAGATGAAAATATCAGTCTTACCTTCTGAATTGGTTTATGCTCTAAGTGAAAAGACATGGAAAAATCTCTAATTTTGGAAAATAAATGAAACCTCTAGATAGCTTATTTCCTATTAGAAAAGATAATTTTTTTGTACTTACTTTTTTTGTTTAGAAGTTTTGTGATTGTAAATGTATGAATTGCAAAGTGTTTTATATTTTTGAGGTAACTTTTCGTTGCCTGAATTTCTTTGAATGTTGTGGGAAGAAATTAAGAGGAATCTCGTACAGAATGAATCACTTCTGCGTATTGATTTATTGCTGTGTGATATACGACCCCAACCTTCTTTTTATGTATTTATATTTACTATGGTGGAAAACAAACCATTTTGAGAGTGCTTACCTTTAACTAGGAATAGGTATGTATATTTCATTCTTTGGTTTCTACTACTTGAGAACCTACTTTCTTTTGAGATATCAAAACTTCTGGGTCAGGAGGTTGTATCTACTATTGATTCATTGTGCCTGGAAAGACATGCTGGCAGGCTACCTAGGGAAAAGTATAGGATGACATCTTTCACCTCAGATGAGGTACTGGCTGCTTCTGTGTTTCCTTTGGTATGTCGCTCGGATACCTTGGATAACAAGGGAGTGTTCTACAAGCATTGTAGCAAATTTCTTGCTTCTGCTTTTTCTGTGGGCACGGGCTCCTTTCTAGCTAGTCCTCTGACCTCTGGTGAAAGAAGCTGCACCATGCTGTCTCTTCCAAAATCATTTTCCTTTTCTCCAAAGTCATTTCTTTCCACTACTGAAAGGAATTTTTACAAATGTAATTCTCCACAGTGCTTACTTGATCCAAATTTGGATATCATAGTATCTAATATAACTATTTGTTGTTTATAACATCTCATCTTATGCTTGGGTCTGTAATAGATTCATTTGAACATTTTTAGCACATCCTTCGTTTAGTAGTATGAACAGAAGTGTTAGTACTTCATATAATTTATTATAAACTATGTACAATATAATGTATATAATCCTGTAAAGGATAGGAGGTCAGTAGTTACATCATTTCAATAATTATCATTGTGAAACAGGATTCCTGGCAAATGTTGCAGCTTAAGTCTGGGGGATGTATTTGTAAAATTTCTCTACTATTCTTTGAAAAAATTTTTTTTTCCTGGTTGAGCTCCATGGCAGGACCCTGTGGTAGTTGGTGTCGCTTTATCTCCTGGAGGAATTTGTAGACCCTCTGCCATATATTACTCTACATGTGACAATGATGATTTTTTTTTTTCCCCAGTGAATTCTAAGACTGACCGGATTTTTTTTTTTTTTTGAAATGGATTTTCACTCTTGTCCCCCAGGCTGAAGTGCAATGGTGCATTCACGGCTTACTGCAACCTCTGCCTCCTAGGTTCAAGTGATTCTCCTGCCTCAGCCTCCCAAGTAGCGGGGATTACAGGCGCCTGCCACCATGTCCAGCTAATTTTTGTATTTTTCGTAGAGACGGAGTTTCACCATGTTGGCCAGGCTGGCCTCCAACTCCTGACCTCAGGTGATTTACCCACCACAGCCTCCCAAACTGCTTGGATTACAGGCATGAGCCACTGTGCCTGGCCTGACCAGGATTTTTAATGCACACAGCTATAGACTTTGCTTCCTAGTCGTCTGATAGCAGGATCTGTTTGTCTGTTTGTGATGTATCTAAAACTGATCTCTTTTGGGGTAGTATCAGTTATTATTGAAAGAGAGACTCATTAAAATAAAAGCCAGGTGTGGTGGTATGTTCGGGTAGTCCCAGCTACTCAGAAGGCTAAGGCTGGATGATTGCTTGAGCCCAAGAATTTGAGGCAAGCCTGGGCAATATAGCAAGACTTTTTCTGTAAAAAAAGAAAATCAAATATTTATCTTTCTGGTTTTTCTAGAGGAAAAAAAATTATATGTTTTCACTTTTTACTTGTATTTAGGAAGCCAAAGGTAATAGTTTATTTGGAAATATGGTCTAAATTTTTAGTTTTTCTGCTTCATTGTTGTTACGTTATAAAGTTAGGGTTTGGAATGTTGGTGAAATTATCAAAGCTTCAAGAGTGTCAGCTTGGATTTTCGAATGTTATTCAAATAAAGATGTCTATATATGTAGTGCATATGTATGTATATATGTATAAGTAGATAT